GGCAGGTTCTCAGACAGCCCCGTTGAGGACAGGGTGAGTCCGCATGCGGTAGATGATGACCGCAGTGGCCGGGCACAGCAACAAGGAGGTCATGATGACAATGGTGGCCAGGATGATGAGGACAATGACCCAGACGTCCAGGATGTGCTTGGGGAGCACGACTTCCATGGGGACCTGGCTGACGGCATCCATGCTTCACTCTGCAACAGACAGGAAGAGGCAGTCACCGTTTTGTACCCTCTCCCTGCCTCCCTAGTCGCAAGGAAACCTGCTCCAGGGGTCAGAAACTTGGGCCACCTGCCAGCTGTGAGACCTTTAAGGCTGCTCGGTCAGTAATAACAGTGGCCTCGTGTACCGAGGGCTCCCTATGTGCCAGGCACGGTGCCAGGCACTTACAGGTGCTACCTCATTTAGTCTTCACTTCAACCACCAACCCTAGGGGGTGGGGACTATTGTTGGGGCTTTTTTCTTTCTTGGGCTTTATCTTCAGTTATTCCCATTTTCGAGATGAGGACTCTATCGCCTTAAACGGTCGTAGATGTAGTTAATTTGCCCAAGGAAGTGAATGAAGCCAGATGGGTGGGACTCTGGAGCCTCCATGTTTGACTTAAACTGTCATATTCCCAGTCTGTTCCCTCTCCTGTAAAACGGGAGATTCGTTGCTTTTGGTCCTGTACCCCTTCTCCCATTCTCCTGGTCACAGAACCCCCCCCTTTCCTGCGAAGAACCTACATATTCCGCGCCTTAGGGCGCTCGCCTGAGCACAGAGATGGATGTGGGGCTGAGGCTTGGTCATTGCAAATCTCCACAGCAACCCAGGTTAGGTGGACCAACGTCCTCCCAGGGCTTCTGTGCACAAGCTATGGGGAAAGATGACTCTTTCTGCTGGGATGCTAACCTGAAGGGTGTGAGTGTGGAAAGGACGGGGGTGGGGCTATGTCACCCACATGTGGAGCGCCTGTGCTAGTGATGAATCGAGAACTGGAGCCTTGTTACTTCATTTGGGCACTTGAACCCAGCTCAGACTGACACTGTCTGCAAACCAGGGCATCCCAAATTATAAGCCAGTGATTTCTGGTTTTGCTCGAGCAGGGTCAGTTTGGTTTCTCTCACTTGCAGCTGATGGATAAAGTATATAAATCGGTTGTTCCCAAGCTTTTTCAACTCACGGCACCCTTAGTGTTTTAGTAATTCCCTGACAGCACTCCAGGCCAAAAGAAATACCCTAGCAGTTCTGTTAATTACATAGCCAGGTTCAAACAACTTAATAAGCATTTATGTCCTCATTAGTAGCTGTTTGAAAAAAAATAACACACACACTGAAAGAAAAAATATGTTTTTCATTCTTAACCAGTTACTGACTAATGGGATGTGTGCAACGGCTGGCTGGGCACCGCACAACTTCTGAAACGTCGGAGTCAGACTGGACAGGGCCGTGCTCACTCCCAGCCCACGTTCATGGTGCGCAGAACTTGCTGTATCACGGCAACCGCCAAAAGCTCGGCTCCACAGATTATATCATCATCAAAAGGAATGTAGTAAGATTAATGTTAAACTGTAAGCTAGCTCGAGCCAGTCGTTTACACAGAGTCCGAGACATGTCAGATATCACTATTCTTGTCAAAAATGTTAAAGATCTTGCAGCCCCATACATACACCTTTCCAGTGAGTTCACTGTGGCTCCCTAGGGCTCAGGGCACAACTTGGGAACCACAGATGTGATACGTTCCTTGCCCAGAAACTGGAACAAACGACCTCCTAAGGTTCCTTCTAGATCTAAGATCTTTAATCCTGTGACTCTAGGTCCCAGGCAAAATTCCCAGTCCCAGTCCTGTTTCCTGCTTTTACCTAATCAGCAACTTTCCCCTTCTAGTCCCTTTGGCCCCATGCCCACTGTCATCACTCTAAGTCCAGTACAGATTACCATGCTTTGGTACTGATGACCAGAGTCGAGTCCCCAGGATGTCCATATAAGGATGTTTGTTTCTGCGTTGTTTGTTACAGCAACTGATGTAACAGGGGCGCCCATAAATAGTAAAATAAAGTAGGATATATCCATGTAACGGAGTACCAAACAGCAATTTTCATTCGTTTAACAAATATGGAGTGCTTGTTACACACCAAGCATTGCTCCAGTGTGTTACAAATATTAACTTATTTAACAGCTATTAAAAAGAATGATGATCTGTGGGGGGAAAAGTAAGTGCAAGATAATATGGATAGGATACTCCTTTTGGTTCAGATTTTGGAGAGTTAAGTAGATAGATGATAGATAGATAGATAGATAGATAGATAGATAGATAGATAGATAGATAGATAGAGATAGATTAGATAGATTAGATAGATAGATGATAGATAGAAGATGATAGAAAGATGGATAGATAGATGATAGATAGATAGATATAGATTAGATAGATGATAGAAGATGATAGATGGATAGATAGATGATAGATAGATAGATAGATAGATAGATAGATAGATAATAGATAGCTAAGGGTATAAAATGGAAAATCTTTTATGAGTGGGATCCCACGTCAGTGTTCATAGTGATTGCCTCTGAGTGTTAGACTGGGAGTGCAAGTTTTTGCTTTTCATTCTCTATGTCTTTATAGTATTTGAATTTTCTACACATGAGCACATATTACTTTTTTCTTGAGTTACTGTACATACATGAAAATTTACTGCTACTGTCATTGTCATTGGTAATTACAAGACATCTGCTAATTATTTCTGATAGCCTAAGATTCAGGGGGATGGGCACAGGGTTTCTATTCACTGGAAGGAGCACAGGTGAGGACTCCCCAGAGCCTAAGAATTTGATATTGTCAAAGAAGCAACCCCACTTTCTTTTTTTCTTCTTTTCTGGATTTTTGGTTCTTTTTAAAAAATTTGAGGTACAATTGACATATAATATGATATTACTTTTGAGTGTACAATGTAATGATTTGATATTCGTATATATTGCAAAATGATCTGCACAATAAGGCCAGTTAGCATCACCACATAGTTACAAAATTTTTTTCTTGTGATGGGAACTTTTAAGAACTACTCTCTTAGCAACTTTTGAACATGTAATACATTATAAGCTGTCGTCACCATGCTGCACATTATATCCCTATGACTTATTTATTTCATAACTGGAAGTCTGCACCTTTTGACCCCTTCACCCATTTTGCCTCCCCCCACCTCTAGTCTCTGCAACCACCAGTGTTCTCTGTATCTAAGAGTTTGATTTTTTGTTTTCTTTATACTCCACATATAAGTGAGATTCTATGGTACTTCTCTTTCTCTGCCTAATTTCACTTAGCATAATGTCCTAAAGGTCCATCCATGTTGTCACAAATGGCAGGATTTCGTTATTTTTTACTGTTGAATAATATTCTACTATTTATGTACCACACCTTCTTTACCCGTTCCCCACCGATGGACGCCGTGCCGTCTTGACTATTGTAAGTAACGCAGCAACGAACACGAGAGTGCACGGATCTTTCCAAATCAGCGTTTTCACTTTCTTTGAATAAATACCTAAAAGTGGAATGGCTGGGTCATAAGGCAGTTCTGTTTTTAATACCTGAGGACCCTCCATGCTGTTTTCCACTGAGGCTGCGCCCATTTACATTCCCAGCAGTGCCCGAGAGTTCCCTTTCCCCGTATCCTCACCAACACTTATTTCTTTTGGACAGTAGCCATTCTAACAGGGGCGACGCGATTAGCTTATTGTGGTTTTCACTTGCACCTCCCTGATGCTTAGCGATATTTAACATTCCTCATGTAAATGCCGGCCATCTGCATGTGTTTTTTTGTTGTTGTTAATTGTCATCCAAGGATATTTTTTACATTGATTTTTTTTTTTTTTTTTAGAGAGAGTGGAAGGGAGGGAAGGAGAGAGAGAGAAACATTGATGTGAGAGAGACACATCAATGGGTTGCTTTCCACACGTGCCCTGACTGGGGCCCAGGATCGAACCTGTAGCCCAGGTCTGTGGCCTTGACCGGGAATCGAACCAGTAACCCTTCGATTCACAGGCCAATGTGTCCCACCACTGAGACACACCGGCCAGGGCTGTATGTCTTCTTTACTTTTAATTTTTTTATGTCAACTGGATGGTGGGGGAAATAGGATTGTGTGTGTGTGGGGGGGAGGTTCTTCATAATTCTCTGTATTAAAAAGAGTAAATATAAATATATATAATTTTTAAATCAAATAAGATTCAGCTATGAGACTAGATCAGTGGTCACCAAGTGTTATATAGCGTGCTAAGTTAGAACCATCTTCAGACAGTATAAAAAACACTGACTTCTGGGTCCTATTCCAGATTTCCTGAATTAGACTCAGGAGGAAATGGAAGAAGGCCTTTTGCCCCCATTTCCCAGGTGATTTAAATGTGCAGCCAGGGTTGGGAACCCCTGGACTCAACGACCTCTAAGGTGTCTACAACTCTTTCTAGCACTGTGATTTGAGAATTGATTCCTAGGTGCTCTGTTGCCAGTCTGATCAGATCTGGGCAAGTCTGGGGTTAAGGAGAAGCCTCTGGCAAGCCTAAGGCCGCAGGAGTGTCACGCTGGGGCCTTTCTCCGAGGTCTGAGGCATGGAAGCGTGAGTCACAGGGGACTCACACACGCCGCTCAGGAGGTACGGGGGCGGGAGAATTTATTCTCTGTGGTCTCCTGATTACATCAACAGCTAGCTTGCTTTGGGCCAAAGGAACCCCACAAAAGCTCTTTCTGGTAAACCCATTAACATGAGTCCCAGTGACTCCAAATGCCAGGAACGCATCATCTCCCTGGCTGGTTTTTGTAAGCAAAACCTGTCACTTACAGGAATCAGGCTTCAGGGCTCCTCCACAAGCAAGCATCACAGAACACTGACGCCAGAACCAGCCTCGTTTCACAGACGGCAACACTGAGGTCCGGAGGCGGCCCCCACGGCCAACCCACCCCCATCCTGAATAATCAAAGATACAGAAATCTGATCAAGTCACTGCCTCATCTAAAAAAACAGAGCAAACAAGTAGATGAATGAACTTTTTCTGTAAAGCATATTCTTCACTGTACTAATATTACTCTTTCACACATAAAATTGTTTAAAAAACAAATAAAAGCGCAGCTGCTCTCGAGTGCCAGGGAGGGGCGAGGAAGGGGGAGTTTGGGGTCCTACTCAGTCACAGGCCTGGATAAATATCCTTGCAGGCCCTAACCACTAGAAATTGGGGTGCTCACCCTCTTCACATATACAATTCAAACTAAAAGTAATGCTGAGCCACAACACAAAAATGTACAAGTTACAATGAAATTTAAGTCATTTCCTTGTAACTGAGAACATCAGAGAAAATCCATTTTCCCAGTTGTTTTGTTGGTGTCTGCCAAGCACAACCTGCACTCCTGGTGCAGCACAGCTGTTCAGCTTCCCCTCGACCCCTGGGTTCCAGGGCTGTGAGGCTGGCCATCCGCGTGGCCAGGCGACAGGGCACAGGGAGCCCCATCTCCCTCTTTCAACCTTCTCAATCCTTGAGGATGTGTCCTCTGGTGGGCTGTTCCGTCCAGGCAATAGGGATTCCATTCCAGTCGCTTTCACCACTCCCTCCCGCCCCCCACCGTGAAAGAATAACTCTGTCCCCAAAATAAAAGCTCCGAGAACCGCATGGCCAGCCTCTAATGGCGTGCTGGAAAATCTGCTTGAGAAAAAGCAGGGCTCTAAGCTGCTGCTAGCTGACTTCTGTTTGACCTCTGCTTGGCATCCGGGTGCACTGGCTCCTTGTGAATGCACAAAACCCTGCTTCTTGGCACATTTAATTAATAACCAAAGATCGATCTGCTTATCGTTTGCTCTGCAGATATATTCCTTGTTATTTCTGATTAACGAATGGGTCGTGTCAGAACATGGCCCAGACCATTCACGTCACAAATTTACCTTATAACTGATAAAAAGGTGCTTGTTTTTATGACCAGGGGAGGTAAAACAGCAGTCAGTCCCAAACTCCTATCATTTTAAACTGGCAGGCTTTATCTGTTGACCTCATTCATGGATAATAAACTTTGACATGTGTTCAATGGAAGTTTGTTTAATAAACTGCATTAACACCACCCTGAGCTGACAAGCAAGGAAGCCGATGGTATCTTCAACCACTGACACCACCAGGTCCCTGCACCAGCAGTCCTGGGTTAAGCAGTACAGACAATTCAATGGAAAAGTTAATAATCCCAAAATGACTGTTTTTGTGTCCATTAACAAGACTAAGTATAAAAAACTATAGTTCCTCCAAAGAAAGAAAATATTGTACCTTCTCCAAAGACGGAAAATTCATCTCATCTGTCAAGTACTGTACTTAGTCCAATCTAGGAAGAAAAGGGGCAGGGGGTGCCCTGCCTCCTGCTTGGAGATAAATCAAGTTTTATTCTGAGACAATTTTTCTAAGGAACTAAACATCCTTTAGCAAAAAAAAAAAAAGCCACTGTTCCAGCCAATTCCATCATACAGCAAATTTTCTAGTTCTAACAAAAAAATATATAAATTTCCTAAATTAAAGTTTCCTACACATCTGAATTTTCTAATAACTGAACTCAAGGTGACTAATCTGTGCTATCTACCCACCTTTCAATTATGAGGCTCATTCCCCAGCAGCAACTTTGACCTCTGACAGAGCAGTATTGTTTTTGGTTGGGCACTATCAGAGCAAGTAATTGCCCAGAACATTCGTTCATTCATTCATCATGTACTTGTTATATACAAAATACTCTTTTAGGAATTACCATTATTTACTCAGGAGACACAGCTCTTTTACTTTGAAGAAGCACAGAGAAGTGAAGTACCCCTCTCCTTATTTCCTCAAACACAGAATCCCACAAGCCAGCATTTCTTTTACAAATACCAAGTGCTAAGCCCTGTGCCCGGCCTTGTCCCATACATTAACTTATTTAACCTTCGCAATAATCCTGTGCAGGATATATTATTTTACAGATGTGGAAACTAAAGCTGAGAGGTTAACTGGCCAGTGAGCATAGAGCTAAGTGAATGGGATTCACATGCAGGTCTCCTGACCCTGTCTTCACCACCACCTCCAGCTACCCCAAAGCAGTCACACAGACCCAGGCGTGTGGGCATGGGGTATGGCCGATCCACAGCTCCCTTCTAAGTCCAGGTCAGATTCTTACTGCTTCTGGCTAAAAGCCATTCTAGATTTAGAGACTTAAGGAGAGACATGCAATCTACAAAGTTTAGGACTTTTATTTCCAGTACTAGACCAAATGCCAAAACTAAACCATTTTGACCAAGCTGCAAAACTGAACCAAAAGAATATGCTTGAAGGCACTAAGAAATCACAAAATAATG